TTAAGCGGCAAACTTAAATTTTGAATAAATACGATATTATTGTTATTAAATTATATTTTTAAATATTTTTAATTTATACATTGTGATTATTGTTTTTATTAATATTACTATTGACTAAAACTATTCTATTATTATTAAAAATGTTATACCTACACAATAGAATAATAAATATTATTATTATTAGTTAGCTCTTATCAGTTACTAACGTTATGGAAACGATAAAATATTGCACATGCGCACCATGAACGGTAACCATTCCTGTATTTAAACGCTCCTGTTCAAACCACTCTATGGTTCAAGGCCACAGTCTTTAGATTTTGCCATTACACACAGTGTCTATGCCCTGTCATCACGAGCGTCTAGAGARTATTTAACATTATTTGTTTAACAACAAATCAGTACCTAATTACAAATTATTACGTTATCAATGAAATATAACGATCGGCAAGATTTTATTGTAATACAATTTTTTATTTGGCAGTAGGCACACTGTAATACACTACTTTGTTACTTTATCGTATGAATTCTCTCTCTAAGCGCTGTCCATAGTTTATAKGTCTGTGGAATTTATGTATTTTTATACACCTATATAATGTACGTCATGKGTCTGTGTTAGAGCAATCACCTGGCAAGCAGGATACATGGATTTGATTCCCGGTACGGAAAAATAATTTTTTACACTATTGTGTATTGTCCACGGTAGAAGTTAACACATAATATAACTCCTTAGGTTTTTCAGCAATTTTATTTTATCAATCAAATGTTTCAAAAATTAAAACATATACCAGCATAGTAAAATCAAAAAATTCCACAAAACGTTTGTTCTAACAACAAAAATGTTTATTTTAATTCAAACATGAAATTTTTGCAGAAAATACTAAAAACAGGGTTGTTCAAAAGTAGTTACTGGTTATTTGAAAACAATACATATAGTTTAAATTTTAAACTAGTAAGGAGATCATCAGTAGCAAAAATTCTCAATAAAGAATATTATGGTAGAAGAGGAAATTATTATAAAGAAGAGTATACTTATAAAACAATATACTTAGAAGGTTGTAAGATTGGAATCAAACGAATAGCACAATGCACTGACGAGTATGGTAATTAAAGAAATTATTACCACAAAATGTTTTTTTTTCAAACTTGAATTAAATTATATTTATATTTAAATATTTATAAACTGTCTATAATCAATAATTATATTTAAAATTAAATACTTCATTACATATATTTTGCAGTTCAGAAGATAAATTATAAGCTAGTTAAAATAATAACAATGTTCTAGTATTCTACACATTCTACTATTATATTAATAAACACTATCTATTATTTTAAACTCACTCAAAATATGATTGTTTATGTTAAATAGAAAAAGAAGAAACATTTACGATAACTGCAAGAGAATTACAAATCACACCATATAGACCAGCTTTGCTAACCTTCAATGTTTATCCATTTGGTAATAAATTATGCACATAATTATATATTTTGTATATTCTATTAACTGTGCTGAGAATTTGTTGGGAACAAAAAATTTTAACCCAAATTAATACATAAACTCAAAGAATGAGACAACATATTTCAAAATGCATTTTAATTTAGAACGAATCTTGAAAGCTGTTGACATTATAATGAAATGAAAGATATTGTTGTATTGAAATTGCTGGATGATCTAGATGTCTGTTAACTATAACATACACTAAATATTACATGCAACATCTCAGTTTTGTAGTTAAATGTGTATCTACATCTCGTTAGAAAATTCATTGGTATTTATAAAATATTTTTGTTATATAGGTAAAGACAATGCTAGTAAATACCTTAGTAATTTAATTATGGCGTATACTAAAAATTACCATCTAAATCGCTGTTTGAGCGTATATATTTATATAATGAAGCATTCTGGGGTATAAAATGTTTACTTAATGAAAGGTAGATATTGAAAGCCGTGTTAGGTTTTAATTAATCTGACATTATTTATGATAAACAAAAAAGACAAATTGAGCTATAAAAGAATGAAAATTTTCAATTCCAAATAAAATGCATTAAATTTACAATCGTTAAAAATAAAATTTAAGCCATACAATTATAATAAAACTTAAAATAAACAAGTACCTACAAGAAATGTGAAAACGTTTTATTTTATATATACAATCTAATCACATATTGATGTACAAATACAATTATGCTAAACATAATATGTTAAAATATATAGACAGTACGTGGCAGGAAAAATCTATATCACCGTCTTCGGAGTGCCTTAACGGAGGATTTTCAGACGAAAACGGTTGTAAGTGTCCTCCCGGCTTCAAAGGCAATAAATGCGAACATGGTAAATAATTTTAAACATTCATTAAAATTGTCGAAAATTTTAAATTGAAAGCGATTGGCGTATAAATAAGTAAAATAGGATGACTTGAAAATGTTATATATTATGTATATATATATATTCATCAGGATGTGGACCGAACACGTTTGGCGTTGACTGCACCGGAATGTGTTCAATGCACCAGACGCAATGTCGGCAGATGATTTTTTGTACCAATGGTTTTGGGTGCAAGTGTCCGGCAGGATATACAGGAGACAATTGCACCACAGGTATAGTAAGCGCAATGTATAAAATTAATTATAATGATTTGAATACAATATATACCTACGCGTTAATAAAAGTAAAGACCGCATCCACACGATACATACATAATATCACCCAACAAAATATTATTAAATATTTCGGATCTATATAAAAGGTATTTCATTTTCAACTTCACCTATAATTTTTAAGCAAATTAAAGTGTTCAAAAACAAAAAAATTTTGGTTCCTACGCGCCTATATGTATTGAAAATATAGGGAGTATATTCACTTAACTACACATATTCTACAATATTTTTAAATAGATTTTACCTCCGGTGTATTCTATAGTCTGACATCTATAAACGTTTGTATACCTAAATTAGATATTTTATTTTATTATTTAATGCACAATAAATGCGAGATATATTGATAAAATATTAACTGTATTATTATGACTACGCACCTATAAGCATTTTGACCAATGAATTTTTTACGAGCAGAATGTAAAAATGGTACGTATGGCGTAAATTGCGAACAACAATGTTCAGAGAGATGTATATCGAAGTCATGTGACGGTTACACTGGTGTTTGCGACAAAGGATGTACGGAAAATTACATTGCTCCAGATTGCAAAGAAAGTAAAGCTATAAATCATTAAACTTATGCAGTGTTATTGTTAAAGAAAAAAATGATGTGGTATAATTTGTTTTGCGATTAGAGTATCCGTGGCTGATATCACCGCCAGAACTGGAATCCTCTGATTTTAATTCAATAAAATTGAAAATTGATTTTAATTCAGAAAATATAGAAGGCAGTAGCAAGGTCAACTCTCTCTATTACCAAATCATATTTAAGGTAAATATCGTTTAACAATACATATTACATACCWATATTATGGAAATACTATTACAAACTTGTCTGTAGAGCGTATACAGTATACATAATGAGCGCCTACAAATATACTCATTAAATAAAAAATAAGTATAAACTAAAATGTTTCAAAACTTCGTAGTTAAGAGGAAACCACACCCGAATACGTAGCTTCCGTCTTACAAACGTAGAACACAGCAAAAACTGTACTTGCACGGGACAACTGCTCTCCCACAGAATTTATAGTAGAAATATAATATTTTATGCTTGAGCATTATAACTTTAATTATATTTATGTTACCAAAAAATAACGACGCTGTGACACTATTCTTACCTATCCGTTGTGAAATTCTGATAATTCTACTATAAATACTGAGGGAGAACGGTTGTCCGCGTAAGTATAGTTTTCGCTATGTTCTACGTTTGTTAGACGGAGAAACTTCATGCTAGTGTGGCGTC